GTTCTATAGAGGTATCGGCCCTCCGTGCCCATGCCGAGTCATTTACGAATACCGTACCGGATGGCGGGAGTATGTAGCAACCTCCAACACGCGGGCTAGGGCGCAATACCGGCACACCCATGCCGTCCGGTACTGTCCTTCAAAAATCCATTTCAAAGAAAATCGCCCGAGATACTCGTCTCAGCACGCTCGCCCACACTGTGATACACGTGTATGTGCCACAGGGTAGCTCACTTAGACCACAGGACCCAGGGGTGGTGGAGAGTTAACACCATGGTACCCCTATAGTACATCTTGAGCCATTTTAAATTTTCAGGCGTAGACATGATTTTGGTGAACGGTCATACGGTGTCGTGCATTGTCCGTCCGATGTCCGATTGACACCAAACTTGGTGAGCATTCATATTTCATATGGATGGATTTAAATCCCGAACCGCATGTCCAAATTCCTTCTAAAATCCCGACTTTTTGAGGTTAAGGCCCGAGGCCCTACCCTGCCCTTCAACAAGCCTATCTTTACTCTTCATGTCTATTCAATGTCTCTCTCTTGCTTATGTCCCAACTTGTCTTCAATGCCCACTTCGCATGGTGGTGTGTTGGATGATGCATCATCCTCCTCGATCGCATCATGGCACTCTTCTATATTGGCCCACATGTGGCCGGATGGGCGTCTCTTGAGGGACGCCAATTTGCTTGTCATGAGGTGAGGGTCACAACCTACTCTCTTCATAGTATCATAGTATGGTTGTGACATTCTCCCCCACTGTCTTTTGTCATAATGCTCATCTTGCTGACGTCTTCCGTCAGCTTGGAGACAAGTTTGAGTGAATGCTTTTAACTTCTCTTTTGTCATATGGCACCACGACTCTTGACCTTGTTTGTTGTTGGGTGAACTTGACTCTAGATGCTTCTGACTTCTCTTTTCTTACATGGCACCATCTTTTGTCATACGGCACCACGTTTTGACTCTTTACTTGGTCAGTTGCTGGATCTCTCTAATGTTTTTCGTCAGCTTGGAGACAAGTTCGAGTGGATGCTTCTGACTTCTCTTTTGTTATATGGCACCACGACTCTTGACTTTGTTAGTTGTTGGGTGAACTTGCCTCTCGATGCTTCTGATTTCTCTTTTGTCATATGGCACTAGGTTCTGACTCTTGACTTGCTGAGTTGTTAGATCTTGCTGACATCTTCCGCTTGAAACAAGTTCAAGTGGGTGCTTACGACTCTTTAGGTGAACTTGCCTAGATGCTTTTTAGAGTTCTGTCCACTTGTTAGAGTTCACTTCTCTTTTGTCATATGACATGTTCAGATGTTGGATGAACTTGCCTCATGTTTAGTTTTCAGTTCCAGAATTTAATTCTTTTTGTAAATATATGTAATTTTTCAAATTTTCTAGAACCACCTTCTATTAATAACTTTTTCGGAATCCCATAACTAAAATACTATTAATTTTTTATTTTCTTAAAAAGTAAATTTTAAACTAAATCAAAATAATATTTTTGTCCTTTTTTAATTTATTTTTATGTTTAAATGTATTGTTTTCTTTTTTTAATAATTCATTAAATCTCAATCAATTGGTTAAATAATAACAATTTTTCGCATAATAAAGAAAAAATATCCATATTTTCATTTTTATTGAAAAAATTATTGTAGATTCATTTTTTAATAGAAATTAACAAAAAGAAAATCCTAATAATTTAATAATTGAGACTAATTTTAAGATTTAAATTTCTAAATTAATACTTTTATAAACTAATTTTACTTAGAAATTTAGTGGAGTGATTTATAATTATTTCCTCTTGATTTGATTTAAAATCTGCATACAATTTTTCTAAAATCATAAATAATTTTCAAATAAGTAAAAAAAATTTGAAGATTATTCCTCATAAAATTTATACATTAACAATTTTTAAATTGATTTGATCTTAATTGATAAAGTTATTTAGTTTGAGAAATAACCATGGATGATGAAAGTCCCACATTGGCTAATTTAGGGAATGATCTGGTTTATAAGTGAGGAATACTAACTTCATTGGTATATAAGACCTTTTGGGGAAGCCCAAAGCAAAGTCATGAGACTTTATGCTCAAAGTGAACAATATCATACTATTGTGGAGAGTCGTGTTCGTCTAACCTCACTATAACCCAAATATCACTAGATACATTATTCAAGCACTTGAACCCACTTGGATCACATCTAGACAAATCGAAGTGGGACAAAGGGCAATGACATAAAATGCACGACGCGGCAGAAAAATATGGGTACATAACCAAACAAACCCGATACACTAAGACTCACAAAAACACGTATGGGTTCAGGGAATTTAAACTATAACATATTGTAACGGGGATCCAAAAAAGAGAAAAAATCGTTTATTCAAAATCTCAAACTATACGATAAATTAATGTTTTTAAATAAAATTTTGTCCTATTCACTTGGTTTTAGACCATTGTCATGCCCGAAAAGTAGATTAGGACAAATAAACAAAAAGCTTCAACTCATGAATTCTAGGAGCTATATTCCTTTGGTTTTAGATTTTCATCATGCCACCCGTGTACGGTATTCCACTGCTCTTGATCCAAGAATCACCANCTTTGTCTTGCTTATGTCTCAACTTGTCTTCAATGCCCACTTCGTGTGGTGGTGTGTTGGATGATGCATCGTCCTCCTCGATCGCATCATGACACTCTTCTATATTGGCCAGCATATGGCCAGATGGACGTCTCTTGAGGGACGCCACTTTGCTTGTCATGACGCGAGGGTCACAACCTACTCTCTTTATAGTATGGTTGTGACATTCTCCCCCACTTAACTTAGTCATCATCCTCGATGACTTACTCGGGCACAATTGTATTGCAGATTGTGACATTCTCCCCCACTTAATTTAGTCATCGTCCTCGATGACTTTCTCAGGGCACATTCGCCCCACTAATTGTGAAATTCTCCCCTACACAATCTCGGCATCGTCCCGATGATGATCCAAACTCTCTGACTGTTGCCGACTCGACTCGATGGAATTTGTTGTGTTTCATAAAGGTATAAAATTATTAAGCACCTGACTATCTTTTGTCATAATGCTCATCTTGCTAACGTCTTCCGTCAGCTTGGAGACAAGTTCGAGTGGATGCTTCTGACTTCTCTTTTGTCATATGGCACCACGACTCTTGACTTGGTCAATTGTTGGGTGAACTTGCCTCTAGATGCTTCTGACTTCTCTTTTGTCATATGGCACCATCTTTTGTCATATGGCACCACGTCCTGACTCTTGACTTGGTCAGTTGTTGGATCTTGCTGACGTCTTCCGTCAACTTGGAGACAAGTTCGAGTGGATGCTTTTGATTTCTCTTGTCATATGGCACCACGACTCCTGACTTGGTCAGTTGTTGGGTGAACTTGTCTATGCTTCTTATTTCTCTTTTGTCATATGGCACTAGGTTCTTACTCTTGACTTGGTCAGTTGTTGGATCTTGCTGATGTCTTCCATCAGCTTGGAGATAAGTTCGAGTGGATGCTTCTGACTTCTCTTTTGTTATATGGCACCACGTTCTGGCTCTTGACTTGGTCGGTTGTTGGGTGAACTTGTCTCATGTTGAGTTCTCGGTTCACATAATTTAATTCTTTTTATAGATTCATCTATAATTCTTGGATTTTCGAGACCAACCTTCTATTTATAACTTCGGGAATCCCATAAATATTATCACATAGATCAATTCTTTTTTGAATTTTGAACTTGTCTCAACTTTGGCACTACTCTTACTTTTTTTTTATTTTCTTAAAAAAGTCAATCTTAAAATAAATTAAAATACAATTTTAGTCCTTTTTTAAAATTTATGTTTATGTTTAAATGTTATGTTTTCTTTTTTTAATAATTCATTATAACTAAATCAATGGGTTAAATAACCATTAACAATTTTTCATATAATAAAGAAAAAATGTCCATATTTTCATTTTTATTGAAAAAATTATTACTAGATTCATTTTTTCAGCCATACCGTTAACGCTACAATTTTATAAAGTATTCTACCTAGTTTAACAACAGCTACCCAAATCGAAGCGGGATGAAGGGCAATGACACGAAATGCACGACGCGTCGGAAAAATATGGGTAAGTATATTTCCAGACAAACCCGTTACACTAAGACCCACAAAAACACACGAGTTTAGGAAAGGATCCCCGAATATTAGGTAGCTATTGTTAGACCCGGTAGAATACTTTATGAAATTGTAGTGTATAATAATTTAATCTGTATAATGATTTAGTCTCTCCAAAAAAAAAAAAAAAATATTATTAAATTTTTTTTTAATTATAACCTAATTTAAACTACAAATATTAAATCATTATATTCTCAAAAAAGAGAAAGAATTGTTTAATTCAAAATCTCAAAATGAACTATAAATTAATGTTTTTAAATAAATTTTGTCTGGTTCCTTGGTTTTAGACCATTGTAGGAAACTCCGGTGCGCCTAATCTAGGGATTACCACGAATAAACAATCAAAAAGGTCTTGGTTTTAGATTTTCATCATGCCACCAGTGTACGGTATTCGGATGCTCTTGATCCAAGAATCACCATGAGTAAACAACGAAGGGGTAAAATTGATGGTCTATTTTGCTGTGATCTCTTTAATTCCCTTCCACTTAACTCTATTTTCTTTTGCTGCTCCAGGTCCTTTGTTATCGAACTCTGTAAAACAAAGTCCTGAGAGTAGAATCATCACTCCATCGCATCTAACCTTCAGGATGGATCAAGTCATCGATTTGGCATTGCATGATTATGATTCTTGAATACCACTTCCATGGGCAACCAAGGTAGGACTTACTGGTATGGCGAATGGGGTAGAACTCAGGGTTGGAAGAGATGGTGCAATTTTGGAGGATGATACCGGTGGGCTCTTTACTCTGGGTTCGACCTTGGGCAGTGACAAAGCATGATTGATTCGGCATTGGCTTCCTCACTAAGATCTTACCGTTCTGTAGACAGAAGCATTGTCAAAGATAAAATCAATCAATGGTACCGGAGATTGTGCAATCTCGGTAGAATTGACGGTGAGCATGGGGGTAGAGAGTATCTTGATAGTCGTCCATTCTACAATTGTAGAAGATTGACATGTCAGATTGAACTCGGAGTGCCACAGCCTGGTGTTTCTCAGGCCCAGTTGAGTTATCGAACCACAAGTCTTTTTCGATGAAGTTGGATCCGACCGCCGCTGTTAAGAATATGCAATCATGTTAAATTCACTTATTGAATTCGTATGAATATGACTATAAATTAGATGACAACTTACCAAAGGTAGCACTTTTGAATGTGGTTGTCCCATCAACGACATTCTTGCTACCTGTGATCTTGGTCTTAGTCGGGCCGTCTCCAATCACCATGACATAGGTCATTTTTTTGTCCACCATCACTTGCTCTTCATAAACTCCTTCCTTCACATAAATCACAAAGGTTGTATTGCTCTTCAATGGTACCTCTTTAAGGGTTTCAGTTATTGTCTTGTACTTGCCACTTCCGTCTTTAGCCACCACCACATCCGCCTTGATGTTAGCTCCAGTGGCCTCGAGTAGCCCTCACCTGTTGCTCACCCAAGATGGCTCTTCCTCTTCTTCATTGGATTCTTTTGTTCGAAGTTGTCGTTTGTGGCAGTCCTAGCTTCTGTCACAAAGAGCTCACAAGGGATGTAACCTCACCCACCATCACAAGTCCATTGGCGGTCATTTCTTTTGACGTCTTCAACAAACTCTTCATCTTTTCACCAGTATCGCCAAGAACATTCTCGAAACCATCCAAACAAGTTTCTTGATATGTCAATGCACCGTTCAACCAAATCTTAAGATTCCCAAGATGATCATTCATTTTGTGTAGACTCAAGAACATTAAATGAATTTTATTATTTTCTATTACAATTGAAAATTATTCTGCCAAGTCTCATCCTACTTCAATGGAAAAGACTTGTGGTTCGATAACTCAACTGGGAGAAACACCGGGCTGTGGCACTCCAAGTTCAATCTGACATGTCAATCTTCTACAATTGTAGAATGGACGACTATCAAGATACTCTCTACCCCATGCTCACCGTCAATTCTACCGAGATTGCACAATCTTCGGTACCGTTGATTGATTAACGCTGATTTTTCATCGCTACAATGTTTAGGATTGATAATGGGACCTTTAACTTTTGTCATGATGATCGTTAATGCATAACAATTTAATCGGTATAATAATTTAGTCTCTCCAGCAAAATAATTTTATTTTAAAAAATTATTATAACATATTTTAAACTAAAGATCTTTTGCGTATTAAAATTTAAAAATTAAATATCTTACTAACAAAAAAAGAAAAAAAAATCTTAAAATGAGCTCATTGTTTTATTCAAAATCTTAAAATGAGCAATAAATTAATGTTTTTATACATAATTGTCGAGAATTCTAGGAGTTCTATTCCCTTGATTTTAGATCGTTGCCATGCCCGAATAGTAAGGAACTCCAGTGCGCCTAATCCAGGGATTACCACGAATAAACAACCCAGGGGTGAAATCAATGGCATGCTTTGGTGTGATTTGTTTAATTCCCCTCCACTTAACTCTATTTTGTTTTGCTGCACCAGGTCCTCTGTTATCAAATTCTGTGTAAAACAAAGTCTTGAGAGCAAAATCGCCCTCCCATGGAAGCCACCCTTCAGGTTGGATCAAGTCGTCAATTTGGCATTGCATGATGATGGTTCTTGAATACTGCTTCCATGGGCGGCCAAGGTAGGTCTTGAAGACATGGCGGACGGGGAAGAAGCCAGGGTCAGAAGAGATGGCGCAATTTTGGAGGACGATACCAGTGGGCTCTTTCCTCTCGAGCCGACCTTGAGCAGTGACGATGCATTTTTGATTCTCCATTGGCTTCCTCACAAATATCTTACAGTTTTGTAAGATGACAGCAGCATTGCCAAAGATGAAATCAATGGTACCAGTGATGGTGCAATCTCGAAAGAATTGACGATGAGCATGGGTGTAGAGAGTATCTTGATAGCCGTCCATTCTACAATTGTAGAAGATTGACATGTCTGATTGAACTCGGAGTGCCACAGCCTGGTGTTTCTCAGGCCCAGCAGAGTTCTCGAACCACAAGTCTTTTCCAATGAAGTTGGTTCCAACCGCCGCTGTTAAGAATATGAAATGTTAAATTCATTTTTTAAATTTGTATGAATATGATAATAAACTAGATGGTAACTTACCAAAGGTAGCAGTTTTGAATGTGGATGTTCCATCCTTGAAGTTCTTGCCGGCCGTGATCTTGGTCTTGGTAGGACCATCTCCAATCATCATGACCCAGGTCATTGTTTTGTCCACCATTACTTGCTCTTGGTAAACTCCTTCCTTGACATAAATCACAAAGGTTTTATTGCTCTTCCTTGGGACATCTTGAAGGGCTTGAGTTATTGTCTTGTACTTTCCACTTCCGTCTTTAGCCACCACCACATTTGCCCTAATCTTGGCACCAGTGGCTTGGAGTAGCCCTCGCCTGTCATTGACCCAAGATGGCTCTTCCTCTTCATCTTCTTCATCGAGTTCTTTTGCTCGGAGTTGTCGCCCTGTTTCTGGCAGCCCGAGCGCCTTCCACAAAGAGCTCACAAGAGATGTAACCTCACCCACCATCACAAGTCCATTAGCGGTCATTTCTTTTGACGTCTTCAACAAATTCGTCATCTTTTCACCAGTATCGCCAGTAACATTCTCGAAAGCATCCAAACAAGTTTCTTGATATGTCAACGCACCACTCAACCAAATCCTAAGATTCTTAAGATAATTATCCACCCTATTTAAACTAAAACTATCAGTGATTTGATCAAACGTAGTTAAAAGATCATCAATTGCATAATCTATGAGCTCGTCACAAGTATCAATGGCTTCTTTCGCCATGGGGTCGGTGGCGGCTTGTTTCAAAGTGGGGGAATTTGCAATTGCCGCTTTGAGCTGCTCAATAGCAAAATGGAACCCTGCCTTGATCAACTCACGTGGGTCTTTTGAGTCAACATTGGACTTCACCAGGGCTTCTTCGCAAGTTTCACGATAAGTAGTGGGCTCACATATAGTCTTAATGGCAACATTAGAGGACCCAGAGTCCTCTCCTGCGCCACTTGCACCATTAACCAAGGCAACCAAAAACAGAGACAACAACCCAACCAGGGCAACTTTATTGTTCTTGCATCCACCGCCGTCATACGCCATGTTTCTTCGCTACAAATCTCGAGCTATTTTTTTTGCTTTTTTTTTTGTTTTGTTTTGTTTTGTTGGATAATAGAAAATGGGAAGTTGTTGCCTTGATTCCTTCGGTTCAACAAATGACTTGTTTTTATATGAGAAAATTTTAACTGAATTTCAAAATTATAGTAAATATTGTTAGAGTTGGAGCATTATGGACCAATCATTTTCACTTTATTTTTTAAATAAAATTTTTGCTTTTCTAAAGTTAGGATTAATTTAGTTAATTTTGGCTAGGTTTGTGGTAAAAATCGTGATTACGTTAATTATTTAAATTAACCCATTTTTTGAGTAATTATTAATTATTTAATTAGAAGTTAGTTAACTCAGCTAAAATTGATATAAAAATTGATGATTTAAAGGTAAAAATACAATTTATTAGTAAATAAGTCCAAAGGTTTTGTTGTAATAAATAAATTTTAATAATGATCATTAAATGAATTTTGCTATTTTCTATTAAAATTTACATTTTATTTTTTGAAAAAAAAACTCGACAAAGGTAAAAACAATATTGATGTGACCACTACTTAAGTATCGTAGGGTATTGAATCAAGCCTCGACTTACGTATAGTGTCATGGCAACTTGTAAGGATCTCACTAAGATAAGTCGATAAGTAGTGGGCTCACATAGAGTCCTATGATCGACCGAGGAGGAGACGAGTTGCTCCGAGTCAACCACAACCGAGACGGGTTGCTCCAAGTCAGCCACAACCTATAATAACGACTCAACCTCCACGAAAGGTGGCTGACCCATCGCCAACTATTCGTTAGAGGTGTACATTCAACCCGACAACTCGGACCAACCCAACTCGAATTATTGGGGTTCAGTTGGGTTGGGTTATCATTTCGAGTTAGATTGGGTTAATTTTTCTGAACCCGAACTGATTCAATTCAATTTTGGGCTCATGGGACAAAAACCTTCCTTTACAGGAGAGTCAAGACTATTCATTCGAGTTTCATCCTCTCCCTACTGACTCATTCACCTTTTCCTGATTGAAGGAGGTAAAAGAAAAGAGAATGAATTGAAAGAAGAATAAAATGATGGATTCTTTCTCCTGTCTTCACCCCTGAACCGTAAACTATCTATCAGCTTTTCTCCCTACTCATTCTGCTGAACCTAACTCAAGATGAATTAGACTGATTTCATTCACCTTTACAGTCGGTAAAGCATACATATTCTTTAAAGTTGAACCAAATAATAAAATATATTAAGAACCTTAGCATACTTCTCTTCCAAATTGCTAACCCAGCTTCTCTAGAATTATTCTCGCACAAGTTCGACTCTAGTTCTATAGTATTTTTTATTTATTTTGTTAGGTATAGTTTATTTTTATTATTTTTTAATTTCGTGATTGGATCTATCCTCATATTTTCCTTACCAAAATAATTATTTTTATTGTTTTTTAATTTCGCGATCTATTCTTATATTTTCCTTACTAATGTAATCAATTCG